TTTGTAAAAAAAATAGGGTGTAATTGTTGAGTGCATGTGTGCAAATAATGAGAAAACGAAGCGATGCATTTGTTTCTTTGATAAGAATCACCGAGTACGTGTGTGTGCGCCCATTATGAAGAGTTCTTATTAGGTCGCTGGATTTTTTCCTCTTTCCAGGAATATTTAATTTATTTGCAAAGGGACATTTCTCTCCGCTATTTTTTCCATTTTTCCAAATGACTCAAAGTCGAAAGAATTAAATTCAACTAACCTCAGCCATTGGCATTTATGCCGCAATGCCAATTGTAAAAATGCATGTGATTATTAACGCCATAAAAACTTAAACATGTGTTAAATGCTTGAGTCAACATGAAACAGCATGGAAAATTTAATTTAACAAAAAGAAAAATATAACAGCAGGATAGATCCATGGCGGATAGCTAGTTCTCCCCCCAATCTAGTTGTGGCCAGACTTCGTGCATTTTCAACATATCAATTACTTGACGGGGTTGTAAAAATTATAAAAAAATGTCTCGAAACAATTTCATTTTTTTTCTTCTTCTGAATAAGAACCTGCGATTTAAATGTAATAGAAAAAGTCATGTGCTTGATGTAATTTTATTCGTTGCACTGTGTGGTAAATTATGTAAATTGGTCAGGAATTTGTTGGATTCAGTGTGTGCGCGCGTTTACATTTTTTTCTTACTTTTATGATTATTACTTTTCTGCTGTATAATATCAAAGTGTCGAATCTCAAGCGATTATTTACAACGCATGGTGAATGAAATCTGATTTGGAGCAAACGAAATGAATTCAAGTCAACCCATATAACCACTTCAGGTGCAATATTGTAATGCACTCGAAATAAAAAAAAACAACAGAAACACAGAGAGAATGAGTACTTGACAAGGATTTTAATTTTCTCATTTGCACGCATAAAACGCGAATGTTTATTCAGAATAACTGGTTTTTGTGCTGGATTGAATATGTGTTCAATGCAAAACAAAGCGTTTCTCAAAGCTGTGCAAATGAAGATTTTCACAACACCAAAACACTTATCTCAATGAATCATAGCAGAAATAATGAGGGTAAACAACGGTATCCTTTACAATGTAGAAACTCTATGTGCAACATAAAAAGAATGCAATACCAAATGTGTGTGAAGGTTCTGTGAATGATGCATTCTGATTTTAATGGAAAATTGTTATACTATTTCAAGATCACTTTTTTTCAACCACACACACACACACTCCCTTATAACTAGCCATATAAATTGTTTTTTGTAACCGTTCTTTTCAAAAGTGCAAAACTAATTTTCCAGTCTGGTATTGCAGTTGCCTGATTTTATTTACGCTTCAGTTACCTATGACAATTTCTATTCGTTTTGCTCAATTTTTTTTATAATCGGATTGAAATGCAGGCCAGTTTTATACAATAATATAAAGACAAATCATTTAAATCATTATACGAATGACAAAATCTATTTAACAACTTTTCTTCGACTTCTACAGCGGGTCGTATTGTTATTACATGTTTATGACGATTGGCGACAAAAAAAGAAGTGTGACAAGCTGCACAGAACCTTCAAAAAAGTGTGTAGTCACACATCTTATATTATTGTTTGTTTGGATTAAATACGGAATTAAAAAAGGGATGATTTATGCTGTCAAAAAGAGACTGCATTTTGTGTGTCCGTATCATGAGTTAAATGTTACCAATTTTGTTTTCAATATAGAAAAAGATCTACTGCGAATGTGCGTTGATCCAAATGATTTGATTAAATAAAATAATTTTATAAGGGTTCATTTTTAATGATTAGGATGACAAGTCTTACTTATGGCATACATATTGCAGTTAAATTGGATTAGAAATTTCACACGAAACCGACAATGACACAAATTCATCTTCTGCATCATATTAATCAATATATTTGGTATTTGCTTATTAGTGTCAGTCGAAATGCATCAAATTACCCTTTCAGTTCAATAAATGTACGATTCAAATTACACGGAGCATCAATCGACGGCAATTGGTATGCAATTCAAATTCTAAGACAGCCCGCATATGTGAAGTGTTGAAATTCTGACAAATAAATGGGAATTAATGAAGAAAAATTCCGAAACAGAATAATGCTTGATGATTTACGATTATAATTGTACAAATATGGCCGTAATTATTCGATACCATTGAAAAGGCCACCGAAAATGTACAAAGACACATTTTAAAAATATGTGAATATCCAGTTTGTTTATTTAAATGGAAATCCATAATTAAAATGAAACGTTTCGATTTGTGTGAAGAAGGTGTGTGCATGGTGATATCACTTACACAAAGCGATTAGACGACGACCGAATTGAAAATGTTGTTTAATAAGCGAATTCGATATTTAAATGAAATAATTTCGACCGCAAAACCATAGTATAACGACATTATTGATGATTGGTTATGTTGTTGGAATTATATCGGTATGAAATCGGTACCAATTCACACTTTTAATTACGCATAATGATTTGTGCATACATTGTGTAGCAGTAACTACATCGAATCAAACCTATCAACTGCCTTTACCGATACCGCTCCAAACGATCTATCCTTGCGGAATGAGCCCAAACATCCAGCACATACACAAATATACGTATCATCCAATGCTCTCCCCATACTCCCTGTGTCAATCGATATATGTTTTGGAATGTGTGCGCTGTTTGAAATTTAATGTGTAATAAGTGCTGTGAATTTGTATAATAAATAATAGAGCAATGTTCAGTGGTAAAATAAACATGGCATATGCTTTTTGCCATGTAAACACGATTTGAAGCACCCCACTCTCATTTAAACCTGTTGGCATTCGCTTGTTTATTAGTAAATCTCTGATGATATGAAAAAAATGAGATACAAAATACGTGCTATGGATGTGTCGATATGAGACTCTCTTTGACAGAGTCGCTCATTTTCGGTTCGATTTTCATTCGTTTTGTCACATTGCGGGCGTTTCGATGAGAGAGGTGGTTTTTTTTAAATTAATTTACAAACATGTTCTTCATTTTGACAATTACAAAAGAGTTTTGAGTTTCACACGTTTAATGATCAACATGTCGACACATGCAAATTCAAACACATGCGCTCCAATTTCACTGTGCCAAATTCATTCGATTCTCACACATGTAACGTTTTAATTGCGTCATTCCAAAGGATTTCAATTTTCTTTTTTTTATGTTGTGACACATGAAATATAAAACAAAAAATATTTTACGTTATCGACAACTGAAGAGTCACACTGTGTGGTGTTTGTGATTGAAGAGGAAAGTGAAAGGAATAAACAATATATATATAGTGAAATTTTTACATTGTGTTACATTTTCACTTGGCAGCAACCGCTTTTTTTCTAATCGAAAGTCGAAAAATTCCACAAACGAAACATTCTATCGCAAAGTATTTTTGTTAACACAATGGACTTTAAATTACACGGACGAAAAAACACAATTATTGTTATGCTTGCGTTTACAGTTTATGTTATTTGTTGTTGCATGTAATAAAATGTTCTGTGCACATAATACACATAAATCTAAGTGGCAGGAGTGCAAAAAAAAACTTTCTTTTCAAAGAGTTTGATGGTTTCGTTGAAATTCTCCCTTCGTTACACAGTCTGCAATACAGAACGTTGTTATTTTATTTATCGCATCCGATTTCCTTGCTTAAATACGCTTTTTTTGTTGTTTGTTTGTTTCAATCTCTTTTTTAAATGATAAGAAAGTGATGTGATGTATTTGGTAGACTCAATGTACGTGCGAGATGCAGAAACAAAGGCCGAGAATATAAATATCAAACCAACCGATGTTTTTTTCTTCTTTATTGTTGAAAGTGAGAGGGTAAATGTGAAAGATATGAGATTTCTCTTTGCAGCAACATAGAAAAGGGTTCAGACTGTGGGGTGGTCCAAGATTTTTTTTCTTCGTTTTTTTCCATTTTGAAACGTGAACAAATATTGCACGCGAGCAACGCAATAACCACCTACTTATTTAACTCGTTCCATTGTCTTTTTGCAAGTTTTAAAACGGAATTTTGAGTACAGCGGAAAAAACTTGAAGAGAAAGAAAAACGAGCCAGTAGAATCCTGCACAAAGTACCGTGATGAATGGCTGAACGCAGACTTGCATGCGCTATTTAACGGTGATGAGAGAACGTGATTGCCGTTTTTATTTTATTCTTTCCAGATTCGACATGATATTTTCATCTTGATTGTTATGACGCGGGTGTGGAAAATCACAATCACATCGGCCATAAACACCAGATTTGTTTCGCTAAATTGACATGAAATAAAAATAAATATTTTAAAATTTACAAGCAATTCTTGTCGGTTTGCTGGTTTGCATTTAAATTTTAACTCAACCAATAACAAACAAAACATTTTTTTTTTTTATTAAAAAAGAAAACCGAAATCAACTTGACTCACTCATACTCCATTTCAAAAAGAAAGAATATTTCCATTTCGCATGGAAAAAAACTTTTCACATTAATTTTCCGCTGAAACAATTCGTTGCGCAAGTTTAAGTCATATGTTAAGGTAAATTCTGCAGAACGTAGTTGTTTCATTTGCAATTGTTTCTTGTCTTGAGTGCATTTTTTATGCAAATGCCATACAATTTGAAGATGAGAAAAATATATACCATTTTCAATGTAGTTCCTAACGATTTTCCTCGTTAAACCGAATAACTCTTTAGCAGTTCATTATGCAAAACTACGAGACATTTTTTTGTTGTTTCTCTTAACTTTGTGTAATTAAATGCGTCGCCAATTGCTACTTGCGATAATTACGAAGAACAATAATTCAAGTCGAATGCATTTCGTTTCGAATGCACTCGAGATTTTATTCGAAAAATTTGCATTTTAAAATGGTTCTGTGAAATATTTTGTGTAATTGACTCGTTTTTTTTTAAATGTTCTTATTTCCATTGCAATTATTTCTAAGTTTGCTAGTCATTTGCTTTAATAATGTTATTTTGATTTTCTGTAATTTCCAGAGAATGACCATGGACATGGGTAAATCGGAATCGATTAACAGTGTAACGGGGACCACATCAAATCCATCGCAGATATCAAATCATCAATTGTGTGCCGGTTGTGGCAAACCGATTCAAGATCGTTATCTGCTCAAGGCTCTGGACATGCTTTGGCATGAGGATTGTTTAAAATGTGGTTGCTGTGATTGTCGATTAGGCGAAGTCGGTTCAACATTATATACCAAAGGAAATCTAATGCTCTGCAAAAGAGATTATTTAAGGTGAGTGATTCATTTGGCTAACACCAGAAGTGAGAGTGAGCTGTATTTATGCAAAGTATGTGTGTGTCGTAGATGTGAACCGATTCGGAAGATTGTGGTGTATTCGAGCAGAAGTCGACATTTTAGCTATAAATTGTGCATCAATAAGTTGGTGTCAAGACTTAATTCACTTGAAATAGAAGAAAAAAAATTGTTACTGTTTTGCGGTATGTGATTGTGATATTATAGGGCATTCATTCACAACAAGATGCTTATTCAAAACTTTTGGTTTAACCACAAATGGACAATTTGTGCTGCTGATTTATGTACATTCACACTTGGTATTCAAAACGGCACACAGTTTACCTGTCACTGCAGTGAGCATGCGATTTCGATTCGATAAAATGGCACACGTTATACCTTCTCTTCGAATCGTACACCACAACCGAACAAACGTGAATTGTTTACTGAGATGATGCTTGTTATTAATTTTAAGGATATTGTACTGCATTCATCTTATCATGACTATTTTGAAGTGAATTTATTATACGAATATATGACATGCTAAACTAACACTGATTCTGACATCATTCACACTTCATTCTTCTTTCAAATGTGTCACACAATCTGAGCCAGTGTGAATGGAAATTAAAACGATATTTTTTTTGCAGATTATTCGGAAATACTGGCATGTGTGCCGCTTGTAACAAGGTCATTCCAGCATTTGAAATGGTGATGCGAGCTCGAAACAATGTTTATCACTTGGAGTGTTTTGCGTGTCAGCAATGCAATCACAGGTAAATAGAAAAAAAAACATAATTTTTCAATTTTTTATAGTTGAACACCATTTCTTCTTCATTTTAAACTTAAAATATTGACAAAAGTCATATTACAACTTAAAATCACATTTCTTTAAATTTCAAATTGAAAAAAAAAACAATTGTGTAATTTTGAAATTCCATTTTCCCCGCAATTTTTAAGATTTTGTGTTGGTGATCGATTTTATTTGTGCGAGAATAAAATATTGTGCGAGTATGATTATGAGGAGCGCATGGTTTTTGCATCGATTGGTAATCACCCGATGTTGAAGCGTCATGCAAACACAATTTCTCAAAATCCACCGCCACCGTATACAAAAAGCAGCCCTGGACATATGCCAAATGGAAATGCACAAATCGGAAACAATGTGAATGGTGTATCGCCAATGCAACAGCAAGTCATGGCAATGGATCAAACACATTCACCTCATCAACATCAACAATCGCACATTCAACAATCGAAAATGCAACACGACGATCACAACAACAACAACAATCATGGTCCAACAAATGGCGGTAGTTGCGGCATCACAGCAAATCAGTTCAATGCACCAATCATGAAAATTCCGCATAGCGCCTAAATCATGTCATGCCCTCGAACTGATGATCCGCACTGCAGATGGACTTGATAAATATGGCTCAACACTATATATATATAAATAATATATTTAAAACAACATTTTTGAATAATTTTTAAGTTTCTAGAGAAGCTACATAAGACATATGCGCCAAATCCAATGAATGGGTTTGAATTCACGCCAAACATAGTACACAATGTCAGTTCAACATTGATGTATAACGAAACTAGATAAAAATGAAATAATGAACGTTAATCTCAATTTTGCTGTTAGGAATTATAGAATAATTTCTAAAACTGAATTCAAATTTTCTTATTGTTTTCGATGGTTCATTAATTTCTTTTTTTAATTTTTCGAACTATGGAAAACACTTGGATTGAAACTGAATTACCATAAATTAGAATCCTTGAACGTTATGCAATTTAATTTATTTTAAATTTGATTATTGAAAAATCAATCGATCTGAACAAAACTGAAAGGATAATTTTTTTTTCAACGGTTGCACTGACTAAGTTCAAGAATATTTTTTTTTAAATATTTTGCAAGAGAAAAATCGTTAAATCGATTTAAATAGTTATTTTATTCAGAAAACTCGTACCTTTTCATTTTGAATTGTATCCAAACTTGTATATCAGTTGTGGCTAGATCTAATTTAATGTCAGACAAAACGAATGAAAAACAATTTCGAACGCACATCGATTTAGAATGGAAAAATACAAGAAAATGAAGGAAAAACATAAATTAACACATCATTTTGTTGTTATTGTGATATTTGTTGAACAAATTAGATTGAGAAAGATACACAAAACAAAATACGATTTTGTTTTTAAGAAAAGAAGTTTAAGTTAAACATTTCTCATCAACTGTAAATATAATAAAACGCTATAGTGAACATTCTATCTCAAATCAGCGCTCAAATAATGCAGAAGAGACGTTTTGTTGTTTATTTCTGAAAAAAAAAAAAAATTAAGGAAGTGCTTATCTTTCGCCAAAATGAAATATAAATAAACCACATTGTCAATATAACATTGGCTTGAAATAAAGAGATTTTCACATATTATGTCGTCAAAATAATAATCGCAACAGCGAAATAATGAAATATATGTACAATTCAGTATTAAAATAAATGTGGAGCGTATCAATTGAGCCAAAGAATAAATAACACTAAATGGAAAAATACGTTGTATTTTATTTTAATAAAACATTTTTTGCGGAACAGTTTGATAAGAGATTTTAGTCGGATATCCCGTGCGTCAAGCGTAAGTAGCAGCTCATTTATAGAATATAGACCGTCTTGCCTTTCTAATGGTCTTTTTAAAGTAATTAAGTGATGCTGAAAGCGAAACATCCAAATATATGCACATTAAATCTGGTCATCCCTTTTGTTTGTTCTAATTTTTATTTTCTCAACATTTTCGACCGCATTAGCAACAGTGACTAATTTAATGCAATTAATTTGCATTAAGAAGTAACAGCTTAATAAAATTCATTCAGGAAGCCAGCCATTTTTATCACAGCACACCGTTGTCGACTACGTCTTAGTCCTGCAATCCCTTGAACAATTGCAGGCAAATAACAATTTCTTTTAACGACCTCGCTTTGTGCGCGTAAACGATCCCATTCTCTTCGGCACAAAGAACTGTATCATTTTCGATGCACATTTCTGGGAACCCAGAGTAAAATCAGAGTGAAAAAAGGGTTACTTATTGTAATTATGAATATATTCTCTCACTGCCACATACACACGGCAATCATTTTTATATTCATTTCAAAATGCAAATGAGCCATGCCATGCCATGCCATACCAATGCTGTAAATCTTTATTAATTGCAAATATATAGCATTCTATCTTGTCGGGTGCGTGTTTGCGTCATGCAGGCATCAACCGTTTGGTGAATATCAAATGCAGATGCAGCCATAACGAGCAAAACCGAACGAATAAAGAAGTGTGAAAGTGCGTGGTTTTGTTATGATTTTTTCCCATTTCTTTTTGAATAAAAGGGTTCTTTGCCCATACGAAACAACCATTAAAAAAAATTAAGAACGAATTACGTTGCTGTACGGACTAGAAATCGTGGGGAGAATTTTATGGAAAATTCAGTGAGAAAGAAAGTAAAAAAAAAGAAATAATATTATATTGTATAACGTCATATTCCATTTGATGAGCACCTTTTCTACAGCTCCATTAATTTTAATTCTTTATTACGCTAAAAGAAAAATTACTGCGGTTAACGCCAGCTCGCCAGCTTGTTATTACGTGCAAAAGCACATTAACTTAAGTGCAAATGGACTCGATTCGTTTTTAAATTATTAATAAATCTGCGTTGAGCTCTCTCGGTTGGCTGAGCGAACTCAAGAAAAAACATTAAGTTTGAGGTGAACTTTGAATTCACGAATAGGTACTGCGGGCGCCTTTTTTCATAACAAAGGGAGTTTATTAATCAATGACATTGGATTGCAATTTTAAAGAACACCCATTATGGTTAGTGTCACATAAAAATGGCAAAAAGAAATTATTTCGAATTTCGATTGGAACGATTTTACCCTTCCATCGAACTCACGAGTTCGACGACCCTTCCAGATAGATTGAAAATGCCACTTTGGTTAATGAGATGTTGTCGGCATTTCGAGTGAGAATTTCACACTTTTTCCGATACACATTTCGAAATATTGGTTTTTTGCGATGTTTGAAAAAAAATGATGACGAGTCAAACTTTTAGAGGCAATAACTTTAGCTACCGTGTGCATGTTTATTCGTGCACACTATAATCGTGACTTATTTTATAATGCTCATAACCGTGACCTTATGTCATGCTTTTCCTTATCACCTTTTCATCATATTGTTCTCTTACTATATAAAAAGAATGAAAATGATTGAAAATCACTAGTTTCAAACTATCATTTGCCACATTTTCCTACGCTTGAAACAAAAATGAAAAATTTATTTGCTGTCTTTCTGGTTTGTGCCTGGATTCTAATCGTCAGGTAATTCATTGAATGATAAAATTGCAATTTTAATTTTTCGCATCTTAAAATAAACAAAAAATATTTTTTTTTTTTCAGTGGAGAGTAAGTTTATTTAATTACTTAAAGAATCGTTTTGTATGTGAATTATATTTTTTTTTCAATGATTCAGCACGCCATCGTTAAACGCGCTCAAAGAAAGGTACGTTGCAGACAATATATTTAACTAACTGGTCATTTGAGCTGACAGTACGTTAGCCAGCTAAATGGACTAAAACAATAGAAGTTATTGTTTTAATGAACAATCACTTCTATTAAAACAAGAAAAGTGATTCATCATTAAAACAATAACGTCTATTGTTTTAGCCCATTTAGCTGGCTAACGTACTGTCAGCTCAACTGACCAGTTAATTCAATATATTGCCTGGTACGTTGTATACATTTTAAACATATTAAATCGTAGAAATTGAAAAATGAATTCGCCCATTTTAGAATTTATGAGCAAGCAACAGATGGGAAAGATGATGAACAGTTAGTAAGCTTGTAAGTTTCAATATTCGAACAAAAAAACCGAAATTTGAATGCGAATTTCTTTAAATTATGTCCTTTTTATTAAGCTTGAAAGAGAATGGAATTATCAACGAAAATTATGAGTAAGATTAACATATTTGAAATATACAAAGAAAATGAAGTGATAAAATGATAAAATTACTTCAGTGTCTCGACGCTGGATGGACAAAAAAAGTACGTATTATTAGAAATAATCCAAATATTATTTTGGTTAACATTTAAAAAAAATCTGAATTCTTCTTCGCAGATTGCTTGATGATTTAATTAAATATACAGATGAAGAGTGAGTGATGAGTGATTTGATTTTTTTTAAGTCAATAAAATTACAAAGTGATCGACGTTTTTTTTCCTCAGAAATCTTAAAGCTGCTGACAATAAATACGGAAATGCTGCAACAAGCGGGGCTTGATTTACATCAAGGTACAACGTATAATAATTTATTTAAAATTCGTTTTTTCATTATTTGCTAATGTTTGATGATATTTTAATAATTGATGATAAAATGGAATTTTTATGCGAAAATAAGAAAAAAATGATGGTCTTTTACACTTTTATATTAAGCTATAGGTTCAAAAATATGAAAAACAAAAAGAGAATAGAAAAAAATAAACTTATTGATATGTGTTAGTAAACATATTAAGATCATCGAATGAGTTGCCACCGGTTTGATCAAGTATTGTGAACATTTGATTGAGTTCGCCATTACTATTATTGATTGCATGCGTTGGCCCAGCCAAAGTGACAACCGACATTGAGCCTTGTTCACTTTGATTTGTTTGCCAATCCCACATAGCTGTATTTGGTTGATTTTGATAATTTTGGTTGGAAAGTGGTTGTGGCGGCGACTGTTGTGCGTATGAGCCATTCAATTGAGTATATGTTGGTGGTGCATCGGGTGAACATGTTGGACTCACGTTATATTGCAAATTTTCCGCCGAAACTGGTTGTTGTTGACACGTTCCATATGCGATTGGTGACTGTGTTGATTCGTAACCATATCCCATCGTATGCTCAGTATTCGACTGAAGAACATTTGACTGTGGTGATGTATGCGAAATCATTCCTTGTGCATTATAGAAATCATTAGCTCCCGATACCTGTTGCTGTAGGGCATAGTCAACTTCGGATATTCCTGAATCATAAAATTGAACGGCATTCGGCGTTGTGTTTCCCATTGGTTCAGCCATCGGCTCAGCCGACTTACTTTTGCATACAATATATTCAACAGCATTCGAAAATGGATTTCGGAATGCATGCGTTTCTGTGTGAATCCGTATCCAATTGCATATTTTTGAACGAAATCTATATGTCAAAGAAAATGGTTGGTCCTTGTGTTTCAGTGCCCGATCAAAAATCTCCTTCATACTCTCACAATCATCGGGATGTATGAAGTCGAAGTAATTTTTTCCCAATAAATCGATTGTTGTGTAGTCCAAAAGTTCCTTTACGCGTTGATCAACAAATGTGAATTTTCCATCGATGGAATGTCTTGAAATGAATTCAATTTGCGGTGATAAATCAGATTTTGGGGTCGATTGGACTTGTAAACGTCCAAGAGCGACCATACAGTAATTTGAGTGTCTTCCATCATCTTGCGGACCACCAGGAAAATCTGTGGGTTTCCAATTCCGTATGTAGCCTGTACAGTGAACAACGGCGTAGTTAACACCGTCACTTCCAGCTGAACCAAGTGAGTTTTTCTGCTTTAAACGATTCAAATGACCTTCTGAATGACGATTTCCAATGCGCATACGGCAAATGAATCGACGATTCGGATCCATTAGCATACGCATCGACGATTGATGATTTTCTTTCTTTATTGTGCCAGTTTTTATATCCAAAACACGTATACTGCGTTGTGGTTCTTGTGTTGACAATTGTTCGCGAACTTTTTCACGATCATCTGGATGAATTTGATCGAAAAAGCATGTATTCAACCAATCCGTTTGAGATTGATTTAGAACTTGAACTATAGAATCAGACACATCCATAATTCGACCCTCATCACACGAAACAACAAACAAAAATCCATCGGCCGCTGTAATGTATGATAATTTTAAGAAAATTAATTAATTATATGTTTTGACGGTTTGAGCTTAAGAATCATTTCGTATACCATCCAAAATAAGATGTGTTAATTCATTTTCGTTCAAAAATCGAGGTTTATCGGGAGTACTGTTGCCTGTCCCTGGCAGCGTTCTCATTTGAGCAACAGCCATTCGTAAAATTGTTAATTTATCGGGTTTACGTGTCATTGCACTACATGCTGGCACCATATCTGCTAACTCCGAAATATAAGCCGTCATTTTGTTGCGTCGCCGTCTTTCGATTTCACAATGATTTTCACGATTAGAAAATCGCTCGCGATCTTGACTATTTTCATCGTCCATTCTGAATTTGGTGCTTTAAATATTACAAGAAGAATATACGTTTTTTAAGGTCTATTTTGTACATATGGAATTTAATTAATTTTTCACATGATTTATGCATTGAGTCTCCACTACCACATACATGCTATCCAAATATTGTCACTATGTTTTTCTTGAACCCAAGCAATTATCGTTGTTTCTATTATCATTAACTAAACAAAACTTACTCTGTTTTTAATTTCGAAATATAATTTCTGCAGAAGATTTATTCAAAATTTAAAAACATAAGTTCTACGTCAGTATCTCATGAGAAAAGAAACAACACTAAAAAAAAAAACTATTTTTCGGGAAAAAAATTTTGTCAGCGGAGAGCCGTTGGGAATTTTTTTGTCATTTCTCTCTTCTATGTCCTTTTTATATTTTGTTCAGATCTTTTTGTTGTTAAATGTGTGTGATGGTCGTTTAAACAGAATTGGCCCTTTCTGTTTTGTCAGTGTTTTTACCTGCACAATAGAATTTTAGTGCGGGTGAAGCGTGTAATATATTGAATGTTTTCTTCTGAATTTTGGACCATTTTTGTACTGCCATGAAAAAGGTATGCGTATGAACTATGAAACACAACTTCCTTCGGTTTTAAAATTTAGACGTTTTTTTATCTCAGTCCGCATCTGTATAAAATAATGTGCTGCATTTATAATTATTTGGTTATTCCAAGCCGAGCAATAAACACGCCGATGAAGTATATTGTACGTAGAAATAACACTGCTGTTGATTGGAAGTTGAATCAATAAAATAGTATATTAAAATCATTGGCCTTCTGGCAAATGGATAAAAATTTAACTGGCAGTAAATATTTAAGTCGTCCGAATTATTTTCGTCCAATGACATTTTTTTTTTCTTCATTTAAATCTACGAAAGACATTGTATTCGTTAATCTTCATTGTTGAATAGTATCCATAGAATACTTATGAAATACACTATAATTATGTTCTTTTTCGAAAGGGTGTTATATTGAATGACCGAGGTTAAAAAGACTGAAAAATGAATGCATCCGAACGAGCATCATTCAGTCATTACTTTATATTTTGAGCCAATTCTATGAAGAAAATAGCATCAAAATTCAAAATGATTTAATCGTATAATGAACGCAAATACATTCGGGGATGAGCAATGGATTGTGTGCGGTAAAGAAGCAGACGAGGTGGTGTGCGATAAAAGGCATTTTAAATATAAAACCGCAATTCAAATGAATTTCAAATCCAGATAACCGACCGCACACAGCATCCGTTCGCATAATATTTGTACATAAAAAATAATTGTGTGTTGCGTTTTTGCCTGCGTCACACATGATAAACATCCATTTCATGCATCACATTCCACATAAGATGCTAATTTCATTTTGCCATCGCATACTGTGTGTAGAAAGAAAGTTAAAAAAAAAAAACAAATAAACTTTCTGAAGTTCTTCATGCAAGTAAAAAGTTTGATTGTTTGTGTAATTAAAAACGGAATAATAACACGGATATAGAAGAGGCACTCATGAGCTTCACACATGAGCGTATTCGAGAAGAAGTTTATTGCAATCAAGAAATAATTCAAGTGATGTACGATGTATGTGCGTTGTGTTACCATTCCATTTAAAATGCGTGTGATAAGTTAATTTTATGGCGAATTTCGTTGATTGTTCTGAACATTCTGGGTATGATTGAACAAAAGACAGAAATTAAAGGCTGCATTTCAACTGTGCCGGTAAAACTTTTGAAAAGAAAACAATTTTCAATTAAATTAATGATTTATGAGAAATTTATTCACCAAAAATTCAGTCAATGTATTGAATTCAGTGTCGATTGTGTTTATTCAAGGAAAAAAAAGGAGGAAGAAATAAATGCTTTTGTTATGGGCTAAAGGTAATCAAAATGGAAAGGATATTCACAACTTGACAATAACATTGTAAAATTTACAAATTTGATTCTGAATTTGAAACTCGATTCCATTTATTGGATTTGGAGGCCAGACATTAATGGAAAATCTTGCATGAAATGGAAAACCAGAAATTCATTAAAAATAGAAAAAAAGGAAATAAATCTCTTTGCTTTCATTGTCACCGAAGACGATGTATTATAGCTGTTTCAATTCATCCCCGCGGTTGAGAACAAGAAATCGAAATTAGCTTTGCTGCTTAAAGCGAGTACACACACTCGCTCGCTCTTACTCTCGGAAATCTTAATCGTCGTTATTATATTATTTATCGTTTCCCTCTCTTTCTCTCCTCACTTGAACAACGAAATTGCTCATTCAAATGTTTACATGAAGCATTCAACCCTTTCGACCGCCACAATATCACCTCGTTGTGTAGTGCCGCTAACAGTAATCAATGCACGTACAGACAAACGACTGTACAATGAAATCAAGTCGAATACAAACACAATACACACAATTTAATTTGGAAAACGTTGAAAAAACGAGCGTCGACGAGTTAAAAGCCGAACCGAATTAATGGCTCAAGGTTTTGCAAAAAATAAAAACTCACACACACACACAATCTCCTTCTCGCATGTCGAATCATACTTCATTCACAATTGCGCGAGCGCCCGATCCAGCGAAGCTAGCAATTGTGCATGCAATCAATGTGAAGTAATCCAATTAAAAATAATTTCATATGATTATTATTATTCTTAACATTAACGCAAAACAGAGTTGTTTTTACTTTTGCGCGCAAATAAAGAGTCAACGAGAATTTACTTCACGAATTTTATACAAACGCAGTGTCGTTGGTAAACTTAGTTGAAATATGGTGAAATAAAATGTCTTACATCCGTAAGATGAACTTTTCCGCACTGTGATCCACGACATGAAAGAAAACTAAATCTGACATTAGTTTTAGATAAAAATAATTTTCGAAGCACTTTTCTTACAAAAAACTACTAAAGATGGGAATTTTTGTATCGGAGCCATGCCTATATTATATCGAAATCATGTGAAAATTTGCAGAAGTTATTTTTTTCACAAAAAGTTAACATTCTGAAAGTTTGAAGAAATTTCAATGCATATTAAGGGTACTTCCCATACAAAATTTCGTTTTAGAGCGAAAAATCCAAAATATTGTTCGGGAGGTGCCCCTAATATTCGTTGAAATGTCTTCAAACTCTCGGAATAGTATTTATGTGTGATAAAAATAACCTGTGCAAAGTTTCAGCTCATTACGATATCATACAGGCATGGCTTCCATACAAAAATCCAAATTTTTTAAATTTTTTGTATGAAAAGTGTTTCGAAAGTTGATTGTATCGCAAAACTAACGTCATATTCGGTTTTCTCGTACCCAAAAACCCCCCAATACACATTTTTGAGTGTTTAAGAATACATTAAATATCACTTTTGGAAGAAAAATTGAATTCCTTTCCATGGATGGCCATGGGCATCACACCAGACATGACACGGCACTCTATCAACCAAAGTCGCTCAAAATCTAATGGTTTCTATTCCTCGGCACCCCCAATCATCCTGTGAAGTCAGATTTTGAATTACTTTTCTTGTTTGAAAGTTATCGTGTTAACAAATTTTTGCGTACAGGGTACAGCGTACAGGGTACAGGGTACAGGGTACAGGGTACAGGGTACAGGGTACAGGGTACGCACATACATTCGGACATCGAAAAAACGCTGGATTCGTGTTCCCTGGCCCCAAAAACACCCAGAAAACACATTTTTTATGGGTGTTAATTTTTCGACCGATTCCAATACTTTACCTTACACACTAGGTGTGTGCGGAAAAGTAAAAAGGGTTCTTAGCCACTGAATGAAGAAAATGAGATTCAACGCGTCACAAAGTAAAACCCTTTAAGCCTATATAGTAAATGATCGTGTTCAGAATGAATTGTCGCTTAAGTGTAGCCAAATGTATGGATTTGAATGACACACTACATGTACACATCCGCCACGAAGCAGGTTCATTGAGATATGAAGAATTCGAGGTAAATCGTTTAAAGAAGAGTTTATTTTGTTGTTGTTCGTGCATCACCGACTCAATTGCAGCCAGAGTCTATAGAGATTGTGAGATTTGTGAAAATAGCATGAAAAACTACATTAGCTCAATCTCAAGTGCAATAACTTTTAAATTTTCATAAAAAGTTACGCTACATGTTGGCTGACATTTTCCAACAGGCATAAAATAAAAGAGCGAGAGATTTTTGTGCTCGCTTTTCGGTAATAAAACGTGTTCGGTGACACGAAACGAATGTGAAAATGAAGTTCTCGATATTATTCTTTTGCTTTTTTGTCGTCGCATTTGTTCCGCAATAAAATATGTATAACAATGATTGCGTATTTATCTATTCGACGCGAAATTGCGGCATTTTCTTTTGAAAACTCTTTTTCGACGCAGCACGATGAGAATCGACGGCATGAAAAATCCGCACTTGTTTAAAATCGCAGCAAAGTCGAAACGGAAAAGAAAGGGTTGACGTTGCGATTAGAAAGTATTTATTTTTATGACAGCGATGAGAATTCGTCGATGAGTACAAGAAAAAGCGTTTGCCACTTTGTCATGGATTATTTAAACAAATCACAATATTCTATCGTTCTCGCATTCAAATGACTAGGCACTGTGCTAAGCTTTGAATTTATAATTGCAATTAAAAACATTGGTTTTTACTCAGACAACTGTCGTGAGAGAGAAAATGAAAAATAAATTGAGAAAGAAGCTATTTTGACATTATTTGCTCTTAAGAATTGTGCGAAAGAGCGGATGGCTTACAACAACTTTTTTTTCTTCTTCTCAACAAAAGAACTTGCTCGGGTAGTTTTGCTGCATAAGTAATTAGGTAAATTCAAATTGACATTATTGAAAGACAGTATAAGTTTTCGACGTTATTTTGAATGGGATCAACCATTTTCAGAACTTCGGCGGCTCATAAAGATATTTAGAGTTTTTTTTTGGAAATGTTCGCAATGGTTTGACAAAATTGGCGTTCACGTTGTTAAAACTTTTGTTTTTCATCTCATGTTCACCTCTGCATACAAAATGAACATTTTTCTCATCATTTCGAGCAATGGTTCACGATTTACTTGGGTATTACATTTAATCTATTTCCAAATCCGTTCAAATGACTCAAAATTTGTCTTCATAATTCATGCCAGTGAGGAGAAAATGAAGAAAAAACGGTCGGCTAAAATCTAAATCTTTCTTATCGAAATCTCTGCAGCCCATACGACTCAAAAACATCAGACGCGTAGAAACAATGTGGATTTCAGTATATTGTTCATTTTTAGCAAGTCAACTTTGCAACTGCATTGTTTCCATTGGTTTCTATCTTGTTCCCATTTATTTATCACTTAATTCAACACGGTAACATTTTGGTAGTCACATGGCAAGCCGTCTACTGTCGAAATTGCTTAATTTATTCTAAACGTGTTTCAAGCCATTAGTAACTCGAATCTCATCGGTTCTTTGAAACTTGTGATACAGAAATCCGTGCATAGCTCAAGCGCACCAAATGAATGCGAAACAAGAAAAAAGAGCGAACCGTGTCATGCGAAAAAATGGCAAAATCTGCGAATCAACAAAGAGTACGAAACCCCTGTAGTGATGTTAAAACAGCGTCAGGAGCACATCAGTTGTTACAAATATAGCTAAACGACTGATTTAAATGCCCTCGAAGAATTCCGTTTGCTAAAAAAACACACTCCGCAAATCTTGATTAATTTTGAAAACAGCCCAACGACATCGAATTAGATACAGCATAACAAAACCAAATTATATTAGACAATCGGGAGTGTAAATGCGAATAAAGACTAAAAGAATCCACGATTTTGTTGTTGCATTATGAGATAAAAACACGATGACTTTGTTAATGCTATGTACTTCCTTGCGGCTGTATACCGATTTAACAGACTTTTTCGCATAAAAATGTCGTTTAAAACCGATTTTTCTTCTTTAAATCGAACACACCACACCTTGGCATGACACTGTGTATTCTTTTTTTGTTGTACGTTATTGTTACATTATTTGTATTTTTGAAAAAAAAAAGTACTAAGAATGTAATTTGAATGTTTTATTTCGCAGAAAATGGTTGTTTTAATGCCAAAATCTATTTAGTGTCTTCATTTTAACATTGTAAACACAACAAGAAAGAGGAAAAAAAGTATGTAACGCAATGTAAACGCGTCGTGATATTATCTGCATTGCATTTTTCATTCGAGTGGTAATGCGCGCATGGGATTTAATGACACAATTGGGGATTAACTGTAATGATTATCGTTAAAAGTTTTGATTTTGTTTTGCTGCACTGCCCTCCGAAATGGCAAACTGTTCGCATGAATAATACAAATGATGTTCTGTGGAAAAAATACCAACTTTTTTCCTGACTATTCACGAAAGTAACAAAATCCCATTTTCATCCAGGCAGATTTGGAAAAAGATTAATCCGAAAAAGTTAAATCGAGAAAATTAAACAGATCGACTTTAATTGCCAATCGTTGTGAAAGTAGTAACGACAACCGAAGCATAATAAAACATTTGAATTTGCCGAAGAAACTAGTTTGGAAATTTAATGTAACTATCATAATATTAAGTCGATCGCTTTCAAAAGAGTTTTAATTAGAAGAAGGGAAAACGAATTAAATTGAACTGAGACGAAGAGTGAGGGAGCGAGAGAGTGAAAAGGATTAACAATGAATTTAGAATGGTACTGTATTGGGTTCTGATTAATAAAACAGTACCGATTGTTTGTTACCCCGAATTTATCAAAGTTTAAAGGTTCACCTCAGATTCCAATTAAGCGATTTTTAATAACAACATATTTCCGGCAAAAATTTAAGGATAACATTTTTATTTGAGAAATTCCATTAAAATCAATGTCAAACTAGTCTGTGTGTAGTGAGTCTACATTATTAAATAATTAATTAAAAAATTCCTTTTGATTAATCCGCAAGGTTTGTGTGTAATCCATCAGCAAAATGTGATAGGGCGATGTTGATGCATTGACATCGTTCTAACCCTTAAAATGTATCGAGTGATTGCTTTCATGTCTCCTTTCTTCACCTCTACACTTTACCATTACATTCGTTACATCTATTGCGTTGCCAGCGATTCGATTCACCCCAATTGCTTATACCATGCCATAATACAAGCTTTCTTAAATTAAAATTTTTTCTCAGTTTACATGCAGTTGCTGTTGTCGTTGATTGCAACATTCCATCTAATAAGTAAAATTGCGTAAAATTGAATGCATTTCAAATCGTCAAGATTTTCTTTTGTCGTAATAATTCTCGTTTTACACGTTTTTATTTGGTTCTTTTCATGGATAAATTAGATGCACCATAACAACTCAACGCATTCTCATAACAATGGATATAATGAGCCTTGATTCATTTTTCATTCGACTATATTTTTTTTCTAGATCTTTTGTTGTCCATTATTATTCTATTATATGTTACATGATTTATAATTAGGCAACCGAAGACAAATTTTTTAATGCAAATTTACAATATACAAGAAAGCAATTTTTTTAAACTCAATAAACATGTTATTCGCCACTGGTTTGGACTTCTTCGTTTATTTTTTTTTAATCAGAATGAAAATGGTTTATTATTGTTTTCATTTCAATTCATTCTTTGATATTTTTTTTTTTAAATTAGACCGCGGAGTGTACGAAACTTGTTGAGACAGACTTTTTTAGTCAAAGAGAAAGAGGTGTCCTTTTGATTTATTTTTTTGTACTGAAAATACAACAACGATATGCTTTGAATCCATGATGCGAATTCTCGAGTAAAGAAAAAAATTGGTTTTATTTTCTGGAGTATTCACTTTAAGCGTCAATAAAGAAAACACCAAATCCAGGTGATTTATAAAAAAACGTCACCACATTTATACAAGATTTATCAAACAGCGGTTGGTCTCTTGTGTTGGCAAATAATTTTCTGATACTTATTTCAGTTGCACTCAATTTTTTTTGCTGATGACCGTAATTTCTCCTCGTTTTCTTCTAATACACATGAAATAGGACCCCATTTATTCTGCCGCCTCCTGTTATAGTTCTATGTTGAAGTTTTTGATTGAAACCAACAAACGTCATGAATAAAGTAAATCACTTTATATCATGCGGTGATTTCAATTGTTTTTAACAGAATATATATATTCTATAGAACCAATTATGCTCGCTGTGGCTAAATAATAAAAAAGAGTAGTTTTAATAAAAAAAAATTGTGTTTGTATTATCATTCACCGAAGGGAAATTTCAAATAAAAAACTCAGTTGGTCATTATTTACACCGCATGGGCATTTCGAATATTATTCTTTATTTATCAGTTGAAATAAACATTATTAAAAAGCCTGTCCAATATTGGATTTCCACATAGAAATCCGTCACAAAAAATTAATCTATAATATTATCATTAAAAAAATAATTTTCTTTTTAAATTCAATTGTGTTGATTAATATCGATTTGCAGCTTTGACGCAATCACAACAGAACGTAACGGGGACCTCAACCCATTGCCAAAACTCAACATCTCCTTCACCGGTGTATCCATACTCCCGAAGAGTGGATGCTTCCGCACAAACACCTTTTCGCCGATGCAATAATCGAACGGCAAAATTTCTTGGCATACAATTGTACTGTTTATAATAACAGTGTGGACTTGTACATTCAATTGTTTTGATATATGATGGATAATAATCGCCACCAAGATCATTCCATTTAACTTTTCGTTCGCATTGCCATGGTTCGATTTGATTAAATGAAACACGGGGTCGACTTTGTCGTTTGGTTCGGCTCAATGTACCCAATGGTTCGGTCTCGACTTTTGAATTAACGCCGATTGGCAGCAAACTTCTTTTTTTCCGTCTTCGATTCTGCGTTTGAACTGTTTCCCATTTGACTTCCCATGCTGGTTCTTCACTCAATACCTCCATATTCTCGTCAGTCACATAAAATGACGATATATCCAAATCGGCTTCTCGTTTGCGGCTTGTATTATGCGAACTGAATAAATATTCATATTCACTTTCCAACGTCTCATTTCGTACATTCATGTAACGCGGCAAAAATGCCGGCCCTTGAATTCGTTGTAATATTTCACTCGGCACTTCTTCACAATGATCCGACTCTTTTAATTTTGTTGTATTAACTGACATCGTTGTGCAGAAATCGAATAAAATAGCACAGCACATGATCAAAAAAATAATTTTTTTGATAATATACACTAACATTTCCATGAATATCTCTGTTCGATGCAACACACAAGACTAGTTTTAATGCTTAGAATGCTATATTTGACATTTCTGTATCACACATATCTGTATCGAACATCACACACCAGTGTCCATTAGCTACTGATCATTATTCTTGGAAGTTTGACCACGTTACACATTTTGAGTAACACACACACCTAGACTCACAATATAGTAATTAACATAGAGAGAGAGAGACAAATAGATATGCCTTTACAAATGATCGTAATAAATGGGTGCAATATGCAAAAAACATTAACAAAAAAGGTATATTTTACCTGCACGAAAGGTGAACAGAGATTAGAGTTTTAAAAAACACTGTAAAATCAAATCTTTTGTTTACCAAATCAACCATCATTACGTTGCTATTATTACTTTTGAGACAAACATTTACACATAAATAGACCGTAAACTATAGATAGTAAGCAAAGGTCAGCGAGATTTTGTATATTTTGTATATGTAATTGTTTGGTGACATCTTGACTAGAGTTTTTTGTTTCTTTTTTTTTTTTGAAAAAAAGAGTTAATTGGATGGTTGTTGGTAGTTTTTTAATCTCATTTTCTTTATCTTTTGCAATCCTTTTTCGATAATCCATCGAAATTTGAAGGCGTATATACCATAAGAACATCCGAAAATTTTAATATTATTTAAAACGCAGAAAATATTCCTTACAACTCAAAAAGGGTACAACTCAATACTGATTTTGGGATGCGTCATCTTTTATCAAAAACCAACATAGTAATAATGTTATTATTTTACTTAGAAAATCAGATCGTCATAAAATATCTGCATTTTTTCAGATCCATTGTGCTTTTTCTCTTTAAATTTGTCTTTTGTTTTCTAGCACGGTCGCCATTATTCGAATGTATTTTTTTTTATTTTTTTCAAAACACACAAGAATATGTCCACTTATACGCGTATATTTCGCAGATTGTTACTAAAATAAAAGATTAAACGTAAAAAATATCAAAATGTTGTGTGTTGAATTGGTGATTTGAAAACTCGTATAAACATGAGTTAATGAGATCCAGTCGTTCGCACCAATTTCTATGACAGTAATGATTCCTAATGCCAATGAGTATGTTCACCACTTGTCTGCATACACGACTTTTCTGTCGATACATACAGTCGAAGTGAATCAACTAACAAACATTGCAAATCACGTCTGTTCTCTGGTGAGGAGGTTCATTGGCGCTTCTTGTCTCTTTTTTCTTTCACAAGACATAACATTTCTGCATAGGGTCTACAATGCAGACTTCTCCCATGTGAAGCAATGAAACTGGATATGATTCATATGCGGATTATCTTTGTCATTTATGTGCTAATATTATGGACAACACAGCCCCACTCCGGTTTTATGACGAATTCTTAAAAATTCGACCGAATTTCAAAACTTCGGTTATAAAATACAGGCGATTTGGAGAATGGTAAATGGTGCAGCTATCAAAAACTTCAGTTCTGGTTTTGCATTTATTTTTTAGATTCATGAATATATGAACCTTTCATTAATTTTCAGTTTTATTTTATATTGACATCCATATCACTAACACTGAATTTTTTTAGTCAAGTTAAAATGAAGCATTTTTTATGATTTAAAAAGAAATTAGGGCTAGTTCTTTAACTTGTCGCAATACAGCGCCAGAAAAATACACCATGATATTTTTTTGTGTTTTTTTCGGGTATCACAAATTATTGCTTTTCAACACTGAAAAGTATCAAAATTGCAACCAAGAAAAGCGTAAGTTTTTGGAAAAATTCAAATTCTTTATAAATTGTAGTAAACTACATTCGAGAAATCACTGAAGTGATTTCCCAGATAAGAAGTATTATATTTCAAATCAACCGTCTATAAACTGGTTTATCGCATACCTTATTCATATGGCCAATTTGCAAAAGTGTCAACACCATTTATCTTCCAAAGAAGAAAATGAAAGAAAGAAGTAACCGTTCGTCTTCCTAACTTCTGATTGTGTCCGCGAAGAAAATGGCAATAGGATAAATGATGGCAAACAACAATACAATCGGTTGAATAAAACGATACCACAAAATGCAGGAGAGATGAAAACCATTTATCATATTTATGTAATTTCCGGTTTGAATGTGAAAAATACATTCAATAAAATGTGGTGCGTAAGAGCACATATCCCCTTATCTAGATGCAAGCGTATGTGTTCGATGATAATATGGTTGAACATGGACACGGTAGAATGAAAAATAAATGGAGCACCATGTTTATTTGTTTTGGTAACGGTGAGTTTTGAATTGAATAAATCGCTTTGGTATTCAAAGGAATTATTGAATTGTATCAGCAAGTGAGATCATAATAAATGTTCATCGTCTTTTGTGCATGCTTCGCCCACAGAGAAAATAAAAGGGATTACAAAAGGAAATTTACATTTTTTTTTATCGTCGGCAAACCTGTTTGCCAAATAGTCGAAATTCGCAATTTTGTATGAAGACATGTTCCGAATCATTTTTTATGGATTTCTCAAGCGAAAGTGATAAAGTTTGATAAGCACTAAAATGCCTAGACACACTCGCTGTATCGCTTTGAAACGCCGTCACAGCAAATAGTAATTGATTTATCACCGGTATTTGTATTGAAACTGCTCCAAATCCTTTTCATTATTCAGTCACACATACGGCCAATTGGTATTTACCGAATGCGTAATATTGCCTCAGCAATGCCTGACTAATTTCGCAACATAAACTCTTGTATATTTCGCATTTTGAATATGTGTGTAGAGATGAGATTAACATTGAACATTGTTCAACTTAATTATCCATAATCCGTTGCAATAAATACGAATATGTATACAATTTTCCGCAGCCGTTTGATAACGATGTCAAGCATTCGAATGCGAGTGTGTATGAGCAATTTGGATACGACGAATGATTAAGTAATACAAAACGATTCAATGAAAATTGTCATTTAATATAAATTGGAGATTAGTTTAACCTTAACAAGATTCACAAGCACACAATTCAGCAATTGCACTCGGCTTATAAGATCCATGAGCTATACACACCGATTCACCGTTGAATGATTGAGTTTTACATTTCAGTGCATCGATTTGGAATGAATGTTTCCAATCGAATTATTTACCGAGCACATTCGATTTGCTTCGGGCGCACATTTAACCGCAACAATTTGCTTTTTTTTCGTTGATACAATTTATTGATAAACATGTTTATTGCAAGTAGTTGCAGTACTGCATTAAAAATTGTATTTTTGGAGTAAAATATTCGGTCCGAAAAACAAATGAATCAATCATTCAAAAATCATTTCTCAATCATTATATCCTTCGATGTTCATTCTCGTTGATCACTAAAATCGCATAAAAACTCATTAAAATTGAATTGCAACCGAAACGATTGGTATTGCATATGTGTATTTTATATTTTGTCGAAACAAAAACGTCGTGTTCCATTCGATGGTTTTTGCTTTGGAGTGATTGTCCATTTTTGGTTTACCAACATTTTGTTGGCTTTGCCCGCAAACGGAATTGTAAATAACGTAAAACATTGAAATAAAAACGATTTTACCTTTTCGCAATGGCATGTGGTGCTGCCGAATACACAAAAAAAACGGTTCAAAATGCCGAATCCGTTTGAAATGCCAACGATAAGATAGGCTGCGATGTAATGCTTCCAAACTATAATAACTTTATTTTACAGCCCTCGTGTTCGCCTTCTCATCCTTGCACACTCGGCAGCGTAGCATTTCAAAAAAAAAAAAAAAAAAAAAAAACAATGGGAAAAATTCTTGTGATTTTTCTGCTGGGAAATTAAAAACGATGTTTTCAAATCGGGTTTTGCATTCATAAAACATTTACATACAATTTTAAATATTTTTGGCCGGTATGAAGTGGTGGGGCCGATGTTTCCTAAATCGAAATGTGAGTTTTCGCCATTCTTTGATAACAAACAAAAACCAACAACAACAAAAATGTTGAAGGTACAATTTTCTTTTTTATTCTTCTGTGCTACACAAAAAAAAAATCAGAGTCCGGTTTGTAAAATATTTCCCCATAGAAATTTTAAACGTCGTTCATTGCTGTATGTAGATGCTGAAATGGCAATTATTTGGTGGCATGCACAAAGCCTACATGGGAATAGCGCGTTATGTGTTTGTGTGCAATGATAACAAACATTCGGGCCGCTTTGTTACATATCATTGTCACCGAATGTTGAATGGCTAGAAAATTGGCTTTTTCGTATTTTTCAATTGCAAGGATAGCACGACAACAAAAAAAAAAACACCGCGTGAACTTTTGTTTTCAACAAATATACATGTTCAACCAACGAAACGCTTGACATTTTTACAAACGGTGTTTTTTTTCGTTCACTTTGATTCAGAGCATCGTTTGCATTTTGCACCAAAGATAAGACACAAAGTCACATTTCAATTACCGACTCTACCACCTGCATCTGAATGTGCATGGAAATGATAGGGAAAAGTTGTGCTCTCACCACCCCCGCCGCTACTGTTGTTATGACACATTCGATTTAATCTTCTTAGACTCATTTCGGCAATATGTTAAGCAAAACACATGTCGAGCTTGGCTTTTTCACGCCAAATGCATGTGGAAAGTTGATGTGACAAGTCAATTTTTGTTTGCACATTTTAATCAATTTGTGCGATAAGTGTGGGCGAAAAGTCCCATTCCATATGGAAAACAGAGTATGGAAAATTTACGTTTTGAGTGTGCTCGAGTTAGAAATTTTAAACTATGGATTCGCAAGCGATTTTGGTTGCTCCCCAATCAACGTCTAAGAATCATATTGTTTTAATTTGAAGTGACAGTGTTCGTTTGATTTTAATTATTCACACATGATCGAATGATATAATTTTGATTCCGTCTGCTCGTCATCATCATTTTGCGACAGTCAAGTACTCCATTCAAAGTGTCGCTTGTTTATGATAAATTTTTCATTTTCTAAATATTGAATTTTGTTTATTTTGATTTGATGGAAGTACTTGAAGAAAAACGATGGTAATTTTAATGGAAACTCCTTGAATTGAAAAGTCACTTCGATGTGATAAACCGTTTAATTTATGCACGTCACAAAAACTTTGCGTCAAGTATATTGAGTGAAACAGTATTTGTATGTTATTGTCGCCTTTGTTACAATGGCAATACACGATACGATGGTATATAACGCCAAGCGACGGTGAAATAATGAACAATATGTGTCATTGGAATATGTGTAGTTGAAATTTACTGAATTAACGTCTAAAGTTGCACATTCAGGTTGACGTGATGTGCAAACATATATCAAGTATCAGAGATGGAGCGAATGCAGAAAGAAAATAGCGTGCCAAATGTAAATGGAGACATTTTCTTTCTAGTTGTTTTCTCGATTAA